TGGTCTGGAAGAAGAGGGTGAAGAAGCTGGCTCCGGTGACCTAATGCCGGTGCAAGAAGAAGAACATGAGGACGGCTCCGGTGACCCAATGCTGGTGCAAGAAGGAGACCGTGATAACGGCTCCGGTGACCGAACTGAGTCCGGCTAGGTATATATATTAGTTAAGCCTGTGCTGACTAGCTAATTGATGCATTCATTGTTTTGGTATGTACACATATTAATTAAGTCTTTGTTCTTTTTTCTAGCCCTCCGGATCGAGCACAACTGAGGTAAAGAGACGAGGCCCAAAGAAAAAGTTGAGCTCGGATGAAAGGTTTGAGATCATAGCAATCGCGCCCGACGGCCAACCGATTGAACCCATCCGAAAAAAGAACGCATTTGTTGCTCAGTGCGGGGTTCTGGTTAGGGACAAGATCCCGATCAGCATCCAGCAATGGTTAAAGCCGGCTACAGAAGACCCTGAGGTGTCTTACGTCAATGATATGCAGAAAAATGATCTTTGGACTGAGCTGAAGTCAAATTTCACCCTACCGCCAGAGGATGATCCGGAGAAGCCAGTTAAAGAGCAATTAATCAAGTCTTTTGCTCTTAAGAAGATGGCAGACCTATTCAGGAGGTGGAAGAAAGAGCTGAATAGGTTTGTCGATAAAAAAGAGACACCAGAATTCAAGGGCAGATATGAGAAGATCAGAGATCACTGGCCCGCATTTGTGGCCAACAAGACATCGGAAAAGAGTAAGAATATGTCGGCGACAAACAAGATAAATGCTGCGAAGAAGAAGCTTCACCATCGCACGGGTCAGGTGGCTACCTCGTAGCCCGGCCTAAGTGGGCCAAGGTTGAGAATGATCTGGTTGAAAAAGGGATCGGACCAGAGACAATGAACTGGCCAGACCGTTGCCGGACTTGGTTCTTCGGGGCTGGCGGAACCTTGGACCCTATCACAGGGAAGTGCATTTGGACGGACGAGCAACTTGACATACCCTTGAAGAAGCTTCGGTACTATATCGCTGCAGCGCAGAAAGGGACGTTCCTTCCAGACAGAGAGAACGACGAGCTCACAAAGGCCCTCGGAAATTCTGAGCACCCTGAGCGGACACGAGGCACGCCAGGCTCCATTCCATGAAAGGCTGGGTTTCCGGACGCAGGTGATTACAAAAGCCACGAGAGGAGTAAAAAATTGCAGCAGACCGGACTGTAGGCGCTGCACGCAAGGGTACAAGCGATAGAGGAACGAGAAGCAAATCGCAGCCAACGACTTGCCGAAGCTTCCCTGAAGCTACCCCGCCATCTCAGCGGAGAAGCAACGTGGCTTCTACCGAGCTGCTTCAGCCGGAGCTTGTCTTGACGGCTCCTGCCAGTTATCCCGTGGATGCTATCACGAAGGCTCAAAATTGCCACCTTATGACGCAATGGATTAATATGAAGGTCAAGGCGGCTGTTGGCTCTGTTTTTCCTAATGAACCCGGTGCAACTTTTCACTTCCGGCCGATTCCAGAAGGATATGCTAAGGTGATGGTGGATGAAATAACAGAGGAATTTGAGGACCTCCCGCTTGACCACCCTACTGGAGAAGGGGAGACTCGGCTGGGTTCTTCTCTGAAGACTCCATGCCTATGGCAGAAGGAGCTCATCAACCTTCCGAACTGGACGCCTCCACCTCCTCCTCCTCCGGCGAGTCAGGGCACTCCGCCTCCTTCACTGCCTCCTCCTCCGGCGAGTGACGATCAGGGCCCTCGGCCGGCTCCTTCTCCGGCGCGTGGCGGCACTCCGCCTCCTTCTTCGCCTGCGCCGGCGCGCCCGAGCAGCCAGCCTCCTCCTTCTCCGCTTCATCAGCAAGGGCGGAAGAGACCCGCCGCCGCTCCGGCAGCTGCTCCGGCGCGTCGTAGTCCTTCTCCTCCGCCTCGTAGCAAGTAAAGAAGATAGCCGCTCCGTCTGTTCGGCCGGCGTCTAGCAGTACTGCCAGAGGCGGGGGGACATATAGATTCGGTCCTTCTCTGAAGAGTCCACAGAAGTTACCATACGAGAGGACCCCGGAGGAGAACGCGAAGATCACGCGCACCGAAGTGGATGACTGGTTTCAAGGGTTGAAAGCAAAGAGACATCCACCTCCGGAGGAGAAGGTAGATCCGGTGAAAGTGAAGCGCACTCTGGCTGCCCTGGCAAAACCACCAAGTCTCCGCCGAAAGGCAACTATGAGCGCATTATTGCAAAGACATGGGCCGAAGCGGAGCGGTTGGGAAGTACAGTCAGTGATCAAAGGCTGAAAGAACGACGAGCAGCTGGGAAACAAATTGCCCAGCTCGGCGAACAAGCAAAGCAACCGTGCCCCCGCTCAAGGTGCCTAGCGACATCGTCAATCCGAGGATGGTGCTCGGTTATTGCAATGTTGACGATTACCTGCCCGATGATGTACATTATGATCCCATGGAGGTGCAGATACACAGACACGAGTACGGGAAGCCTCTCGTCAAAGATGAAAAATCTTTAACAACGATGATGCGATGATTGCATGATTGGTACTTGAAAATTTGCAGAGAGTCCGGGGGAGGAGTACTTTGTATGCGAGAGTTAAACCGGAGCATGACCTCATTGGAATTGAACTGTTGCCTATTCCATTTGAGGAGTTCTATCAGTTTTTTAATCAATTGGCCCTCGATAAAACAACGGTCACCTGCTACTGTCTGTAAGTACTACTACTTCTGTCATTAAGTCTCTCTATATAGCTCATCTCTTTCATTGCATGTATTTATAATTATCCTCACTATATTATGCAGATTGAAGATCGCCGAATTGAAGAAAAGACAAATTGGTGATATTGGGTTCGTTAACACATATCTCATAGATGCAACTGAGGTTGAACATCGTCCCGAAGATACCGAGGCCAACTTGCTACGATCATTCAAAATGAATGAAAACAAAGATATAATACTCTTTCCTTACAACTTCAAGTGAGTGTTAGTGTCTTGTGCATATTCGGTTTCCCTTATATATTATTCCAGATTATAGTAATGTAATTGATGAGTTATGCATGCGTGCGCAGGTACCACTATATTCTCCTAGAGATTAGGCTTGATCAGGGAGTAGTAACTGTCTTGGACTCTAAACGAAAAGATCCCCACGAGTATGCGGACATGACTGAAATCCTCAAGAAGTAAGTTAAATCGATCATTATCCACCATATTAGCAACTTCGTTCATTTCCTGATATCAAGTAATTGTTTTCTTTGTCCGGCAGGGTTTGGAGAAAATTCACCAGAAAAGTTCCGGGACTGCCGAAGAAGCTGGAATTTAGACACCCGAAAGTAAGTACTATAGTAGCATGTTCTGCGCATCTCCTAGTGATTCAAGCGCTAGTTTCATCAATACCATTTAGCATTCTTGCTTATCAGTTTGATTGACCTTTATTTCTTGTAAAGTGGTTGTGGCAGGAACAAGGGAATGATTTCTGTGTATACTACGTCTGCGAGTCCATCCGCCACACGACCTGTGAGCAGGGCGGGTACTCTGACGAACAATATGAAGTGCGTAAATAACAATATTCACAATTTTATTTTATTACCATCATTTGTGTTGAGTTTCATTCATTCATATATATATATATATATATATATATATATATATATATATATATATATATATTGACCCCCTTCTTCAAATTAGATGTTTTGGAAGTGGGATGAACTCCTAGCACCAGCTGGCATGCGAGCAATTCAAGAGGAATTGGCGGCATTCTTTCTTGACCACGTGATCGCTGAAGACGGAGAATACTATGTGGACCATGCGTCCGTATGATTGTATTTGTAAGAGATAATTATTGTATATACGTAGCCGGTAGTGTCGGATAGATATACGAGAACTTGTTGTTCGACCAATCTCTCGGAGAAGGAGAGGTGGTCGATATCACTTCTCTCTGTATGCATATATGTTCATGCATGACAATCTTCTGTTTCCTTCGTTTGCTTACTAGCTAGCTAGCGTGTCTAGTCCTCTCTATACGTATGTATAGTACGTAGCGTCGACGAAGCACGGACATAAGAGAGGACACTTCTCTCTATTAATTATAGCTAGCTAACACAATATATGAAACACCTAAATTAACCCCCCAAAACCCCCAACCCCCCCTTCAAAAAAAACAAAAGTTCCAGCCACAGAAATGCTGACGCGTGGAGGCCTATTGGTCCCGGTTGGTGGAACCAACTGGGACCAAAGGCCCTCCTGCCTGGGCTCAGCGCGCAGGCCACGTGGAGGCCCATCTGTCCCGGTTCTGGTTAGAACCGGGACTAAAGGGTCAGGGCATTAGTAACGACCCTTTAGTCCCGGTTCTGGAACCGGGACAAAAGGTCCTTATGAACCGGGACAATAGGCCCGTTTTCTACTAGTGGCTGCATCTGCGGTGCAGGCACATAACATGTATTAAAGGTAACCCCCTCGCCCGGTTCGAAAGGTGCCAGACCCGGAGAATCGGTTTATTACCTTTAATACATGTTTTTGTATTGAATTAAAACTGCTCAAGATTTTACTTATTGTATATATTCATGACTAATGTTACATTTATATACAATTAACACTTCTCAACATTCTGAGCTAGCTTGTGCAAACGCATAACTGATGACTAGTGTTATTTAAACTAGATATGTGGAGAGTAAGCTAATTAGCAGTACAATGACAGAATACAACTGTGTGTAATGCAAAATTTTGGCACATATTTCTGAAAATTGACAACCTATACAGCCGGGGATAAAACGTCTTACATCATTTTTGTTATCAGGAACTCCTTTTCTTCCGGTCACCAGTTCAATGATAATGATGCCCAAACTGTACATGTCCGACTTGAGTGACATCCTACCATCGAATTGGTATTCTGGAGCACAATATCCTCTGCACAAAAATACAACAGTTTGATGCAAAGCTAGGCAAGTAAAAGCCAGCTGGTAAAGGAATTGGTTCGCTTGATGCAGAGCTTACGTACAGTGATAAAAAAGGGTGCGTACTCATAGTTTATGAGTTTTCTTCGAGTCTCGAAAGGCCAAAATCAGTGATTTTTGGTACCATTTGATCATCTAGTAGTATATTGGTTGGCTTGAGGTCCATATGAATTATGCCATTTTCCTTGTGAAGGTGTTGCAAGCCCTCACAGATTCCTTTAATTATGTCAAACCTTGTGCTCCATTCAAGTCCCCTCAATTCATCTGCAGAAGAAATATTCCGGCATTTTATATGAGCATGATAAATTATATGCAGCAAGACAAAATATTTTTATTTGTCTGCTGTCCCTGTGCTTATGGTATAAAAAGGAAGGAAAAGTCTGCATGACAAGCAATATTAATTGTCGTACCCGTAATATGTTTATCAAGGCCTCCATTGCTGATATACTCAAAACAGAGCAATCGCTGTCTTATCTCGGCAAAAATATATTCTTCCGATCCGCTAATTTGTATAGCTTTATGCTCTGTGTTAGAACAGAAGCCAAGGAACCGAACTGTATTTATATGGTTAACTTTCATGAGACTATTGACCTCACGACGAAATGGCTTCTCATCGATTGAGTGGCTGTTCATCATCTTCACAGCAACATTCCCGTTTCGTAGAACACCCTGTTTAACTTGTCTTGTAAGCATTTCGAATGACGTATATCGTATAGATAGCATATATATATATATATATATATATATATATATATATATATATATATAGGCATTTTGGTTGTAGAGATAGTTTAATGTAAATCTACTGGGGAAATAAATTGTACCTTGTAAACAGTCCCAAATCCACCGGCACAAATTTTTCGCTCTACAGAGAAATTGTCCGTGATGTTCTCTAGAAGAGCTAAACGTAGATCCATAGGCTTCATGCTTCCATCGAGTATTTGCTCTAGGACATTAGGTTGCATATGTCTGTCGCCCATTTCTGAGTACACAACTGTTTCCAAGCTAAAGTTATTTCCCTTGGTAACTATGCCAACTCAGAGTTTAGCCGTGAATTCGACGGGAGCGAGTACTGCTACGAGTTGTAAGATGATGCGTTCAATCAAACCCTGCATTAATCGACGCAAACAAACATCATTGTAGGATGTGGACCTCATGCATGGAAAAAATAAGATCAAATCATATATGCTGGCTTGTCAAAGGAAGGCTAGAATGATTTAAAGGCTAAATTAAAACCCCACACCTAGATCTGAACATATATATTTCCATCCAGGAGCATGAAGAGAGAATGAGTTTGAATCACAAAAATACATAACTGAAGGCTAGATCTACACATGTGATCATTGGGATGTAATACAATCATAGAACAGAAACTGAACTGGAAGACATTCAGCTTATTGCCAAAATGAACGCACCTGTTTGCCATGGAGCGCGCGGAGGAGCAGGGAAGCCAGGGATCGGAACTTTGGTGCAAAATGAGAATGACTTCCCTTCTTCTTTATGCCATTGGCTTGACAAGTTGGGATCCAAGAGTTGACAAAGTCTACTCTATGGATGGATAGCGGGCCCACCTGGCATCTCTCTACTTGCAGTAGTCTACACTGCACTGAGTGGTTGAGTAAGCTGCCCATCGCTGGCAAACATTGTATACGGCTCCACGGTTGCGTGCGTTTACAGATAGACATTGGTTATATAATGATGATTCCTAATTAGATATGATACCTTGAGCGTCTTTGCCTCTAACCTACTGTGGTCAAGTTACAAAAATCACCCTACAAACCGTGTGAGTGTGACCAAATATGTTTGACGGGTAAGAAACGGTACCAATTAGATCCAAGGAAAGACCTCATGTAGCACCAAGCCTGCGCTCTCAGTATAGTAGTTGCAGCTGCCCATGTGAACAATGGAAGTCTCCAGGCTCCCTGTGCTCCTTCCTGTCATATGTGCAAGAGGTGACCAACATTGATGCAGCGACATGGCCATGGTAGGGAGCATCCTGGTGCCCCGTGGAGGGTGTAGGATCATGGAACTGAGGGTGCCATAATTTGCATGTACGGTGTATGAATTGTTATACTCCCTCCATTCAGAATTACTTGTCTCGGAAATGAATGTATCTAGAACTAAAATACATCTAGATACATCCATTTCTGCGACAAGTAATTCCGAACGGAAGGAGTAGATATTGTGGACCCTCAAAAATGGCATGAGAAGAAAATGGTAAGGAACACAATTTTTTTTTGCCTGAGATTGTTGGAAGATGAAGTCAAATTAAAGGTTAGAAACCACCATTGGATAGCCCTCTCCAACAAGATTAGAATGGATATAAGGATAACTCAAATCGGAGCACACATGTGAGAGTTATGACAAGTTCAAAGGGGCTTGTGTTGGCACCAAATTTTGTCTTGCATTCTTCCATCCTCAAGATGGCCTCAAATGAAGAGGTGTTCAACATAAAAGTTGTTCGCTTTATTGAGCCGAATGATTTTGCTTTTTTCTATCATCTCAATCTGAGATCGTATGCAACTTCTAGACTTGCATAAAAATTGCCTCGGCTCCTCCAGGGGATCTCTGGGGTACATATGGACTTAGTAGGAACTTTACAATGTTTGTTGCAAAAATTGACACCGGAACCCCCGGTACAGAAATATTACAGTATGTTGCCCAATTTTTCCTACTGGAAAGCGTGTGCAAGATGATGTCAATTGGAAAAGTTTGCAACATAAAAATTGATCATCTCGTCAAGACAAACAATTTCGCTCTTTCGCTCATCTCTATTCAAGCTTGTGAGCAAACTCCAAGGCTAAAGCAAAGGAGTTTTGGACGGGATTTAAGTACTTTTTCTTCGACGGGAAGTTCAGCCACCTCATATATAGATGAGAGGTGATGACCGATTTTGACGAGACAACACACAAATTGACAAATCAATTTACTACTTTTACTTTTACTTCTATCTTGTTATATTTCCTTATTTTCTTATATTTGTTCTTCGTGTTGCAGGGGAGCGAATCTCAAGGCCCTATATATGGGTGATCAAGTCGATCTTGGGAAGCCCATAGCCTCCTCCGTCCTAACGTGTCAATCAGGGCAACGTGTCTTTCCCCTTGCGTTACATGCTTCATGTGCTTTACATTAAAGGTAGATGTACTAACTCATATGCAAGGTTCTCCATCGCAATTGAATATTTGCTTGATGTATTGCGCTTCAATTCATGTTAACTGTAATGTGTTCTATTCTAGTTTTCATTTGTTATGGTTGCATATTTTGTAAGCATGTTTATTTTTCTGATAGGTTCCACAAAGTTTTTTCAGTTTCTCCTGCCTTTTTAGTTGTCATATGTGCATAGCGCTCTTTATTTGAGTGCAGTGATTCGGTGCCCAGACTCATCTGCACCCATCAGAAAAAAAATAAAAAAAATACTAGACAAATTCAAAAAATTCCAATTTTTTCCCTATGGTAGACAATTTATTGCGTGAGGTTCGCTCCAAATATTAGCTCATTTGGACATCTGAGTAACTCTCAGCAAAAAAGACAAAATCAGGTCAAAACAGTACGTGAACAGTAAACTATTTTATAGACCCCGAATTTGTCTTTTTTGTGAGAGTTGCTCATCAGTTTTCCAAATCGTTTGAAAATTGGGTTGGATCTCACGCACCAAATTGTCTACCATGGGAACAAAATTGGCAGTTTTTGAATTTTTCTAGTATTTGTTATGATTTTTTTTATTCCAGATGAGCCCGGGCTCATAAAAGGATTTTCGTCTTTATATACCCTTCTTTGTTCCTTGTCATCCATGACTGGAGATTCCGGCCCAAACGGCGTGCTTTCATGAGAGCTAATTTTGATATGACAACTTGTATGTTAACAGACTAACTAGATGATGCAATGTTGATAAATATTATGATACATCTGTATTTGATATATAATACTAAATTTGTCATTTTACACAAATTTGCACTAATTTTGTAGATTATTTTGTAACCAAGAGTTAAGTAAATATTTTCTCGGTCCTACTTAAAATAATATGCGACACGCCCAATATGCGACACTATCTTAAAGGGACTCGAATGTCCCACCAAGGATAGAACCGCATATTGACACGCTTTTTCAAGGTGGATATCATTACATCGATCCATTACATAACAAATGGGGATACATACAAGACATACGAATGCCGCAAGAATACGTCAATACATCATACATAGAACAACATCCAAGTATGGATGAAATACAAACAAAAGCTCTAACGACATCCACCCTGCTAGCCCAGGCTGCCGACCAGGAACCTAACCCAAGTCGACGAAGAAGAAGAAGAACTCCAAGACAAAAGCAAACATCGCTCTCGCGTCATGATCATCGCATTACCTGTACCTGCAACTGTTCGTGTAGTAAAGTGTGAGCCACGAGGACTCAGCAATCCCATTATCATGGGTATCAAGACTAGCAAACCTTAATGGGTATGGAAAGGATAAGTGGTGAGGTTGCAGCAGCGACTAAGCAAAGTATGGTGGCTAACTTACGAATACAAGAGTAAGATGAGAAACTATGCAAACGGTCGCACACTAGTAACGATCAATAAGTGATCCTGAACTACTTACGTTCAAACAAAACCCAACCGTGCTCTCTTCTCGAACTTCCCCGAAAAGAGATAGTCACGGTTACACAACGCGGTTGGTGTATTTTAAACGAGTTTACTTCAAGTGTTCTACAGCCGGATATTAACAAATTTCCATATGCCACATAACTGCGGGCACGGCTCTCGAAAGTTTAAACCCTGCAGGGTGTTCCAACTTAGCCCATGACAAGCTCAGGATCCGTGGAGACAATCCTCCATCGCGGGACACCCGATCAGACTCAGAATCCCGGTGCACAAGACATTTCGACAATGGTAAAACTAGTCCAGCAAGACCTCCTGATGCACCGACCTAGCCTGATAGGAGTTGCGCGGTCTTGTTCTCAGGGTACACCGGATGAGCGAAGCATACAGGTATATACCAAATACCCCAAGTTGCCAAGGGGCGGCCCTGCACGGTGCTCTAGTTTGGACCAACACTCATGTGGAGCACTGGCCCGGGGTGGATTAAGTCCACGGGTGCTAGCTGGTCCCTATGCAAGTTTTAGTTGTGATTAGGCAAATGGTAAAACCAATGTTTGGCCTTGCTGGAAGAGTTTTATTCAAAGTGAACTATCAAGAGGGTCCCATACCCCTCACCGTGTTAGAGACGCAAAATCAAGGAACATAACACCGGTATGACGGAGACTAGGGCGGCAAGAGTGGAACAAAACACCAGGCATAGATGCATTAGTTAAATAAGAGATATTGTGATATCCCATGAAATCCATGTCCCAAGATGGAACAACCTGCAACTGCATCTACAACTAGCAATGCTATAAGAGGGCTGAGCAAAGCGGTAACATAGGCAAACAACAGTTTGCTAGGAGGGGTGAAAATGGTTAGAGGCTATCATGGCAATTTGGGAGGCTTGATAACAAGTGGTAGGTAGCACTAGTAAAAAAGGGGGCAAAGGTCCAGGCCGGGTCAGCCCATTAGTCCCGGTTCAGTCACGAACCGGGACTAATGTGAGCATTGGTCCCGGTTCATGCGGCTAAGGCATTAGTCCCGGTTCACCTGAGTCCTTTAGTCCTGGTTTGTGGCACGAACCGGGACTAAAGGGTGCAATGCCCTTTAGTCCCGGTTTGTGTCTCAAACCGGGACTAAAGGTCCCTTTTTCAAACTCTAGCCCCCCCCCCTCGCGTGGATCGCCTTTTTTGTTTTGAAAAAAATCAAAAGAAAATGATAAAAACTTCAAAAAATAAAATCCTTCGAGAGGTAGTTATATTACTACATCTACTAGTTAGGAAAATTTAAAAACTTAAATTTGGACATGTTGTAAAAAATGTAGGGAAAATGTAAAACAGCTATAACTTTTGCATACGATGTCGGAAAAAAACGTATAATATATCAAAATGTTCAGAACGAAAA